GGTACGACACAAGTTATTTGCTAAAGCTTTCGAACACAAAAAGGACTTACATGCTGATTGACAAAAACAGGATCTAATCTCGGGATAAATGCCAACAACCCTTTTTGCGTCCAGCGCAATTGAGATGAACTCTTCAAATGTTATCAACGGAAATTGTCCTGCACAGCAGAACATCTAGATGAAAAGTACATCTACTTCAAACTATATTTATCATCAAATAGCTAGCTATGCTACAATGCACATGGCCAAAATTTGACTTGTGGTAGCATCAGCAATGCCATTGCCTCATCATAATATATATTTGCTTGCATATACAATTTCATACAATGAATCTGGATTTGAACTAACTGTGTATCTTTAAACAAAATCAGCTGGAAAATGGCATCATTAGAGTATAAGTGAAAACATACCATCATATTGTTGATCCCGAAAGTCATATCGTTGCTTTACCCTTAGTAACTTGAGTTCTTCCAGTGTAAAATCAACTGCACAAAGAAATTAAAAGTCAAAAGGCCGGTTTGCAGAATAAACAGATGAAGCTTCTTTAGCAACTCGCCGAAAAGGATTAAAAACTGAAAAAGAAAAGGATGATTGTATGTTTAAACAAGGGAAACAAGTAGAAATAGAGTTGATACCAGTAAACCATCCAGTGATCTTGAAGCCTTGGACCTCATAGGTTGTTTTACGATTTGCAAATTCCACATGGTCTGCAATGTCTGTTATATAGTCTAGTACTACATCATGAGAACATATAAGAACACCATCTTTCGAAGAAAGAATATCTGCTTCTATGAAATCTGCACCCTCATCAATAGCTCTCTGCAAGAAACGCCTAGGTCAAAGGAACTTAATGATTTCCCTCGGAAAAATATTGCTCATCATAATAATTGGTAATCTCTGTTTCTTAGCGATATTTCTTACAAAAACCAACATTAAAATGAAACTAAATTTCAATGGAAAGAGAAGAAAAATGAAGTGGGTTAGGAATATGTCGGTGGCTAAATACCATAAAGCAGAGAAAACAAAGAGAATATAATAAGAACTACCATATAAGCAGCAGCAGTTTCTTCAGGAAACTCTCCATTTGAACCTCGATGAGCAATGTTATAAGGACGAGATAACTGCAAGGGGCGTCTATGGCTGTCATCTACTTTACTTGGAAGTGACTGTGAAAACAGAGATCTTGCGAGGCATTCCCTAACCATTAACAGCAATAGAAAATGAACAAAACCTGCCAAGAATTCCATACATTGTTGAAGGGAGCATCAAGAAGATGTCATATGAAGAAGAAAATAAAGGGAAAATGTGGTATTTTTACCTAATGAATTCATTGTCTTCTTCTACCTCCAATTATCCAGTGTGCTTGATTCACAGTTGACTGACTACTTTTCCAATCCCACTTCTCTTTTTAAGTTCTTTCTCTAGGGTATGTGGTGGTGAGATGATTAGATGAAAGCTGGTGATGCTAGCATTTCTCTCTTATCCTTTGACTCAGGAAGTCCTCGTCTGTATATAACAACTATCGAGACAGACAGTGAGGATGCTGATATTTAATTTTGAAAACATTAAGAATGATTAGGACTCTCCTCATTTATAAGACGATGAATCAAATCTTTTGATCATTTTATCCAACTCAAGTGTTTAATCACATGTAAAACTCTATCTTTTCCTACTTTTTTCAGCCATGCACTGCATTTACTAGAGAAATAACGTCAAGTGATAAAAATATTTGGTTAAAAAAGATTTGAAAATGGAATCTTTCTATTCAAATATTTTATTCAGTTTCTGGTAAATGAATAAACAAGAGCAAAGGAGCAAGAAGACAACAATTTTGCAATTACACATCTACCCCCATACCCAGCTGACCAAATAAAACATGCAAAAACAGGAAAAGGCAACATCTTTATGATTAGATTAGCCCATACCCAGTTGACCAATAAAGCGTACAAAAACAGAAAAGCATAAATCTGACATCATATGGTGTTCAAAAAATTAATATTCGAAATTTATAATTTATTGCAATTTAATTTTTTTGTTATAATTTGATTTTAAAATATTTTACATCTACTTAATTTTTTATTTTTTCATTATTTTAAAATTTTAAATGAACTATTTTTTTTTTTAATTTTCAAACATGACTTTATTATTTTATCATTTTTCAATTAAAAAATAAATAAAAATTAGATTTTTAAAACATATATAAGATACGTAAGTACTAAATTTTGATTATTAATTTTATATTTATTCAAAAATTACTTAAAAAATAATCTTTTTG